GAGGGGATGTGTGTGCGCGCGTGCACGCTCACAAATGCTTTTACTGTCCCTGACACTCCTGGTGGCGCACAGTGGGCCCATGATAAATGCTAGTGGGCTGACAGAGCTAAACCAGCCCAGCAAGGCGGGAACCAAGGCTGAGAATCTTCACATGTGTGTTTCTCCTCCCAACATATGGAGTCAAATTCAAATGAATCAGCTATTCCAAGAACAGGGTTTTAATTATATTCCGGCCTCATTCTCTACCGACAAGAATGCTAATTCTCTGCTCACTCCAATGCCAACTGCCATGCTCCCCCAGCCCCCTGCAGATCAGAGGGTTCCCAACCACATCTCCGCTGCACAGGTAGACTGCCTTTAAAACAGGTGACTTCCATGAGGCCCTCCTGGCATCCCCGAGGGACCCAGGTTGAGAGAGAACGTAGGGTCTGGTTACCGTGAGTTCAAGTCCTAGCTTCACATAACCGGCTGTGTGACCAGGAAAGTCACTGGATCTCAGTGACATGTGGGCACTGACGGTCTACTCAGTGCCAGGTGACCCGGCAATAAAGGTGAGCACGGGCTATGAGCACCTACCTCCTCACCTGGAGTGAAAAATGTCCTGTGGTGTTTTTTACCCTCCACACCCAAGGGTCTGCTTTCACGTCTGGCTGGCGTCTGTCTCTCTGCCAGTCCCAAAGCCCCTCCTTCTCAAAGCCTCTTTTCCAATTGACAGTCCCAGCCAGGGAGGGAGGGAGCCAGGAAGCCAGGCAAACAGGGGTCACTCATCATACTACTGAACCATGTGAAAGTGTTCACTGCACATTCGCAAGTAAGCCAGTGTTTATGGTGCTTACTAAGCAGTCTGACATTGCAGCCTAGTGCCCGGAGGGTGAGACCAATCAGTGAGGAGACAACAGGGTAGAGTGGGAACTCGTCTAAGGGGAGCTGCCACCTTGTTCTACCCATTCTTTCGAGAACTCAGCAGCAACACAGTCCAGAGGCTGGACACGTTCTATTTCCTGACTTGAGCCTTTCCCACAAGCTTTGTAACTGTACCGTCCAGCTGACAATGACCCTTTAGGACAGAGCAGAACTTCCCAGTAGAGAGTGACCTTCACGAGAACAGATCACCTGCCAATGGGTTTGAACTGCATGTTCATACATGTACGAATTCCCTGAACGACACACTTAAGATGTGTGCCCTTTACACCGGAAACTCGGGGCCACAGAGCCGGTGCCGACTCACGGCGACCTTCTGGGACAGAGAAGAACTGCCCGTGTGGGTCCCAAGATGGTACCGCTTTACGGGAGTAGAAAGCCTGGTCTTTCTCCAGCGGAGCGGCTGGTGATTTCAGAATGCTGACCTTCTGGATCGCAGCCCAGTGCCTGGCCAATCCCCCCTCCCCCGACACTGGGCCCTGTGCCCATTCTATACAAGCATTTCTACCTTGAAATTAAACAGGTGACAGTAAGGTGGAGGGATGGAGACAGGGAATCTGGGTAGCCCAAGGATCAGCTCCGTAAACCTTCATCTAATTCACAAGAAAAAGGTTTCAAAAAATAAAATCAACTATCTAAAGGAATGTGGGTTATCAGGTCTTCTGAAATTTCACAAGCAGCTTAGAGTTTGGATTTCTATATCAAAGTCTCCCAAGGGATCCACGTCGAGAAAGAAATGCATGCTGTGTAAAGCACCAAGTGTGGGTGGGCCTCCTCGCCCTCCCCACCTCCTCCCTGAGTCTAACACCCGACACCTAACTCCAGGCCTCTTGGGAAACGCTTGGGAAAGAGGACAGAGGGGCAGAGAAAGTCCTCGCACCCCTTAGAGCGCCCTTAACGTCATGCACCTCAAGCTGGTCCACTCTGGCGTAGATGCCACTCATCTCTGACACCTTGACCTTCAGGAGTGGGATGTCCTCCGCCAAGATCTGTGAGGTGTCACTCCTGATCTGCGAGGAACAAACAACTCATCAGACCCTCGACCCATCTGAGCGCCTCTCACCTGCCCTGTGGCACCGCCCAGGCTGGACAGATGTGCTGATGGCCAACAAGTGGCCCAGGAACAATCCCAGGGTCCAGAGTGGTCTGCTCTCACATCCCTCTTGGGACCCACAGCAACCTGAAGACAATGACCGACCTGCAGCTGGACGTTTCCCCTCCCATCGGCCAGACACCCAGGTCCACACTAAGTGTCCTCTAAACCAGCCAGCGGGGGCCGATGGGAAAAGAAAAGTTTCTTCTCTGAGCCGGCGTCGAGGCAGGTCACTGGAATAAATGCCAGGAGTCTCCATCAATAGAGGTTGTGAACCACACGGCAGACGTGCTCGGGGCTGCCTACCTGCAGGCACTGCTGGGCATCATCTTATTGAATTCTCAACTCACAGCAGAACCAGCACGGACTTTCTGGAGCCCCAGGTACCAGGAGCACACGTCCGCCTCTGTCTCATTTTAGGGCCCTGCCCAGCTTGCATGCACATGTGTGTGTGTGTATGCACACACGCATGTACACGCATTTCCATGTTCATGTTCACACTGCCGTGTACAGACTTCTCTCTGTTTCTGGGGAGTGTTTGAATCCTCTGGGTTTGGAAGCCTGGCAAATGCTGATGCTCAGGCCCTTCGGAGCCTGGGCCCATTTGTCAGGAGTTGCGTGAAAATCTGTGTTTGGGGCTGGGACTTGGAGACGGCATTGGCGCTGTGTGATCTTAGGCAAACCCCTGCATCCCTCTTCGGCCTCCTTTCCAATTTAGACCTTGAGGTGGCTCTGACAGGACCTGCTTCCTTGGAATGCTCTGATGATCGACTGTGTGGCCCAGAGTCTGGCCTGGGCTGTGTGGCCCCCCAGTGAGGCCCTCTTCCTGAGGTCACATGCTCTCGTAAGACCCTCCCCGCGAGGGGGGCTGCACCCAGTGACTCTTCTAAAAAAAAACTGTCAGTGAGTCTGACTCACATCCTGGGACAAGAATTCAGCAAGTGATGAAGGGTGACGTCTAAGACCAGGTTAAAAGGCCTGACCCTCCGTCTCCCTAGCCCTCCCCAGGCCCCCGGCTCTCTCCCGTGCCCTCTCCATTGCATGCTGCGATAAAGCAAGGTTCCACACTGGAGAGGCCCACGTGGCAAGGGACTTGGAATGGCCACAGTCAACAGACCATGAAAAATCCAGCTCGGCCACCAGCCACGGAGGAGCTCAGCCCCTGTCCCCACTGACCCCTCAGAGCAGGGTCTCAACCTTCCTCATGCCACGGTCCTTTCCTACAGTCCCTCATGTGGGGGTGACCCCCCCCAACCATAACATTCTTTTCATTGCTCCTTCATTTTGCTACTGTGATGAATCAGGTGACCCTTGTGAGAGGGTTGTTCGACCCCCCCCAAAGGGGTCACGACCCACCAGTTGAGAACTGCTGCTTTAGAGGGCCATAGCCCAGCCAACACAAGGGGGTGAGGGGTGGGGGACCCTGGGAGGAATCCTGAGCAGGGGACCTGGCCAGGCTACACTTGGAGTTTGCCAGTCAGATGACAAATGCCATTCCTTTAAGCCAGTGAGTTTGGGGATCATTTGTTCTATAACCACAGACAACCATCACAGGGGGACAACATAATACAAGATTTTAATTTTTCACGGCTGTCCCTGTTTCTTCTCCTCTTCCTGCCAAAGTAGATGAGATTCCTCTGGGCTTCCCAAGGAGTCTTGCCCTCACTGCCATCTGGACTGGCTCGGGCTGCATGGCCATCCTCCGTGTCTACAGTCTCCACCCCTCCCTGCTGTCTCACACTTGCGCCTTGCTCGTCTGCAGGCTCTGCCTAGCCTCTGCAGGTCACCCCGTGATAGGGAAAGTTCTCCACAGCTCCTCTTCCTTCTCCAAGGCCAGATTTCTAACGAGAATGCCATCACTCACGAAATTAAGCTCAGGAGAAAAACGTGGCGATACCACAAAGAGCAGATCATCCACGCTGTGGCCAGATCAGACCATCATGGGACTAATCCAGCCCTTTCCTCTCTATTAACCTCTACAGAGAGACACAGGGGTGCGATTAACCAAACTAACATGAAAGAGGAGACACTACAACTGACCCAACAGAAATGACGACTGCACAACGCTTTTAATACGATTAAACCGCTGGATTGTATGATCATGTAAATTATAGGTCAATCAGGCAGTTTTTAAAAAGATTAAAACTTGGGAAGAAAAAAAGAGATGCAAATTAATGGCAGAAGATTATGCACAACCATGTGGCAATAGGTTGGATAGCCCAGATGAGAGGAACACAGTCTTAGAAGGACAGAATCTACCCAAATTTACTCGCGAGGGAAGACAGCGCTCCGACAGACTACACCC